ATGTGGGGCAGAGGGACACTGTCCCCACTGTGTCCCCACGGTGTCCCCAGGTGTCCCCACGGTGTCCCCACGTGTCCCCAGGTATCCCCTGGGATCTTGGGTGACACTGAAGGGACGTGCGGTGGAGGGACACTGTCCCCAGGGTGTCTCCAGGTATCCCCAGGTGTCCCCAGGTGTCCCCAGGTGTCCCCACTGTGTCCCCACAGTGTCCCCAGGTGTCCCCAGGTGTCCCCACAGTGTCCCCTGGGATCTTGGGTGACACTGAAGGGACGTGTGGTGGAGGGACACTGTCCCCACGTGTCCCCACAGTGTCCCCAGGTGTTCCCAGGTGTTCCCAGGTGTTCCCAGGTGTCCCCAGGTGTCCCCACAGTGTCCCCTGGGATCTTGGGTGACACTGAAGGGACGTGCAGTGGAGGGACACTGTCCCCAGGGTGTCCCCAGGTGTCCCCAGGTGTCCCCACAGTGTCCCCTGGGATCTTGGGTGATACTGAAGGGACGTGCGGTGGAGGGACACTGTCCCCACGTGTCCCCACATGTCCCCACGGTGTCCCCAGGTGTTCCCAGGTGTCCCCAGGTGTCCCCACAGTGCCCCCACAGTGTCCCCAGGTGTCCCCAGGTGTCCCCAGGTGTCCCCACAGTGCCCCCACAGTGTCCCCAGGTGTCCCCAGGTGTCTCCACAGTGTCCCCAGGTGTCCCCAGGTGTCTCCACTGTGTCCCCAGGTGTCCCCACAGTGCCCCCACAGTGTCCCCAGGTGTCTCCACTGTGTCCCCAGGTGTCCCCACAGTGCCCCCACAGTGTCCCCAGGTGTCTCCACTGTGTCCCCAGGTGTCCCCACGGTGTCCCCACAGTGTCCCCAGGTGTCCCCAGGTGTCCCCAGGGTGTCCCCAGGTGTCCCCAGCCCCGCCGGGAGCAGGTGCCACGCCCCCAGCCCCACGCAGCGCCTCTGCACAGGGAAAGAACCCAAAATCCTGCTTTTTTCCCTCAAAAGGGAAAATGGATCCTCGCTCCGGCTTG